CCGTCATCCAGGTCTTTAAAGAAGATAGTAAACGTTATCTGTCCCAGTATCAACCACTGAGGTAGATGACTAGAGAATGGACTCCTGCTGGACTTTGCACTGCTGATCACAACCCTTTGAGCTGGTTTTCAGTCCACCTCAGTGTCTGTGTTCAGTCTGTGCCTTATCAGTTTTTGTGTGAGGATGTTATGTAAGACAGTGTCAAAAGCCTTGCTATAGTCATGATAAACAGTATCTACTGCTCTCCCCTCATTCATCAAGCCAGTAATTTCATTGTAGAAGGCCATCCAGGTTTGTCAGGCATGATTTCCCCTTTGTGAATCCATACTGACTGCTCCCAATCACCTTTTTATCTTTAATGTGTTTGGAAATGGCTTCTAGGAAGATTTGCTCGCCTGTCTTCCCAGAACTGAAGGTGATGTTGACTGGCCTGTAGCTCCCTGAATCTTCCTTCTTGCCCTTTTTTGAAGATTGCAGTGACATTTGCTTTCTTCCAGTCCTTGGGAACCTCCCCTAATCACCATGACCTTTCAAAGATAGTTGAGGCTGAGTTACTTCTTCTGCCTTCTGCCAAAATAAGACTATCAAGCTGTGCTGTCAAGCTTACTCCGTAATGGTGCAAAATTTTGAGTCAGATAGGAGCTTAAATGTTCTTTTGGGGATACTTTTTCATAAAAATCTTGTCTCTTTTTCTCCTGCCAAGCAAGATTAAAACTGGAAAACAAGCAAAGAATTTCTTCAAAGAAATGAATTTGTGGGTGTTTCTGTTAATCTTCTTAAGGGAAGAGCATCATATATGCTGTCAGTGTCCTTTTTTATTTAAAAAAAAAAAAAAAAAGCTGCTCATTAAGAATACTGTCTAAAGTGGAACTGATAGTGCTTATTTTAAAAAAGAAAAAAAAGAATCTTCAGAAAGCATTGGGCAGATTCTCGGTCATCAATACAGTCAGTTTCTTTCTTCGTTTCATGGTAACTAGCAGTTATACCACAATGTTGTCTACTGTTCCGTGTTCCACAATGTCTAGTGAAAGTTGCAACTTATGTTTTCTGTCTTTCCTTCGCATCTGATACATGACTCATGAAGAATCTGCAAATGCATTTGTTCAGTGGCAGGAAATTTTACTGGAAACCCTTTTTGCATTTGATAATTTAAAAGCCATCACTAAGTAGAAAATACTTTGTATATCTGCAATATAGGAAATCCGGAATTGCAGGTACTGCTTACTCTGTCAAGGTTGCCCAATTAAGACTTAGGCCACAGAAAGGTCAGGCAGGCCCTTATTTATAAGGGCCTTAAAATTATTTGTTGTGTTTGTTTTATATGGTACACTAACAAAAGGGGTGTATACTTTCAAATGAAGTGTGATGTGTTGAAGTACAACACTTTAATTCTGAGCCTTTTTCATGTTTTTTGAAAAATATTTCAACAAGAATATTAGTTCATTGTATTCTTTTTTTTTCTTGTAACTTTGAAGCTACAAGAAATGTGGAGTTGCTTGTTTTTCTGAAAGTCTCCTATTTGCTTAGCTACAGTACACACATTCTGTAGGGGTTACTTCCTTGAAATATGAAAGCTACTTTTCCAGTTTCTTTCATAACAGCATCGTGGTGTTTGGATTGCAATCTATAACATAATCTGTAGTGCTGACAGAACTTAATTGTGTTCCCACAATCAAAATTCAGAGCTGTTTTGTCAGTGTAAATAAATCTATATGTTTGTCTGTATTCATAGTGTGTAGGTTGGACTGTAGCTATTCTAATTAGTTTTAGCCAGTCCTGACTGAAAAAGGTATTGAAAATCTAGTAGAAGACTCTGTATTTAAATATTTTGTTTATGTTTTGGTATTTCCTATGTTAGCCTAGTTAACTGTACCCTAGAACTTGCCACTTTTTGTTCAGTTGTGAAACATCTGAGGATTTTTTTTATTCAGTTCCCCACTCCTTGCATCTTACCAGAATTAACTATAATTACTGTGATTTAAGTTGTCTATACTGCATAACTGAGTTACCAAATGGATATAGATCATTCAGTACTTTTCTAGAACAGTTCCTATCTTCAAGATAACCTATTTCAAATACTTGAAGTTCTGCTAGGAGTTTAAATGTGAAATAGCAGTACAAATATTTGAACATGTTAAGATGAAAGGTCATATGCTTCAAGTAGTGGAAGTGTCTGATCAGGTTAAAGCTGTAACTTTCCACCATGTTTTAAAACAAAACAATCCACAAAGAGGAATGCGCATGTTCAGGCAGAAAACATGGGGAGCTTAAACTGCGTGGATGTTCATACGCTACTCAGTGCTGCTGTGGGAGACTGCCTCGTTCTGTGTCCCACAGAACAGGGGTCTACTGTTAGTTTTGTTGGACAAAACCGGGGAAAAGGAAAAGCAGAGACCAAACCTATTAGCTCCTCCCTCTCTATAAAGCACAGAAGTACTGCTTTTGCACCTTCTCATCATTGTGTTCAACGTGAGTGGGTAATGTACTGCTTACATCTTGATGGTGAGTAAGGTTGTGGATGAAGTATGGAGAAGATCCAGAGGAGTTGATAGAAACCAAGCGACACTGAGAAAATATGGTATGAGAACAAAAGTGCTTGAGGGTTTTTCATGTAAGGGTAACTACTCCAGTGAGGCTTTACTGATTATTGCTGAGGCTGGACAGGAAGGATGTGTTTGATTATGCGAGTCCTGATTTGGTGAGGGGAGGTAAATTCGTGATTGAGAGGAAAATGAGGAGGCAAGAGTTCAAACTGCTTTCTTTAACAGACACTTTGTTTTCCTGATATTAGACTGATGTTAAATTGTTTTGGAAAGTTGCTACAGCACCCAGTGCTATTCCAAGACAAATCAGTAAATCGCTGACACAAGTTTGCAGCAACCCTAGAGTTCTGGACCCTCTCTGTACCTTCCCACTAAAACTAACAGTTGCAGAGTGAGGCATCCCTATATAACCTTGGTGTCCTTTATTACCAAAAAGGCAGATAGCACTCTCAAAGTAGCGCAATACTTGTTAGTAGTTCCCTTTTGGGGAATGGGACACATAGTGTTTGACCTTTAGTCAGCTTTATTTCTCAGCGAGGTACAGTGATAAAGTAATAATTTTAGCTTTGGAAGCTGGTTGCTCATTCTCCAGATTTTATTCAGAAGTCTAGATGCTTAGTGGGATTTCCAAAAATCCCACTGTGTATGTATATATATGTAGTATGTGTCTCT